GGATTTCGGGGACACCCCCACCCCCGGCGGAGGTTGGTGTCAGCCCCGACGCAGGAGGTTTTATGTCCCTCCCAAACTTTGGCGCCGGTGGGTGACCTCCCACCTGCTACTCCCGTGCCCCTTGTGACTCATCCTGGCCGCTTTCTGATTCCAGCCACGCTCCTGCTCCTCTCTTGTGGCGGTGAGTTTCAGAGGCTCTTGGTGCCAGCTCTCTGGACTGCACTGTCGCTTTAGCCTGCCCCGTCCCGCCAGGGAGGTACAGGGGGGAAGGCAGCTGATGCTGCATCCCTGCTGGTAAGCCAGAGGTGGAAATGGGGAGCCACAAGAGTCAAAACTGGAGAGAGAGGACAGTCCAGCAACAGATGTGAGAGAGCAGGGATTGAGGGGGCGATCAGTCACCTTCTGCTCCAACATCTGAAAGCCAGAGAGTGCAAGAAAAATGTGTTCTCTCTCAGAAATCAGGGGGGAAGGCAGCTGATGCTGCATCCCTGCTGGTAAGCCAGAGGTGGAAATGGGGAGCCACAAGAGTCAAAACTGGAGAGAGAGGACAGTCCAGCAACAGATGTGAGAGAGCAGGGATTGAGGGGGCGATCAGTCACCTTCTGCTCCAACATCTGAAAGCCAGAGAGTGCAAGAAAAATGTGTTCTCTCTCAGAAATCATAGAAGACGTTATCAGAAAGTCATGAAGAAAGAGAGTCCTTGGAAGAATGAAGAGAGCTGGCAAACATGCCCTCCTACTACAAAGCAACTGCCATTAAATCAGATATGGCCAGTAGTGACAAATGGGACCCAGCAGATCAAACAACGCGGGAAGTCTTCTTCTGAGAGAGATTTACGGGGGTGTTTCAGACTAGCTGCACTTTGTCAACACTTAAATAGCTTGTTATGCCGATAAAGTCTTAGGGTGGGAGTTTCAAATGCTGTCAGCATTGGCCTAACTCTGCTTCCATTAAAGGCAGTGGTAAAACACCTATAGATACACTGACATTCAATCCCGATTTTTCCGGGACAGTCCTGACTTTAAATACTCTGTCCTGGTGTCCCCATCAAGTAGTGAAATGTCCCAGAAAGCCCTGCCAGACATTTCACTACCTGATGGGACAGCGGCTTGCAGGAAGAAGCAACCAAGAAATGACTCTGTGCCATTGCTCCTCACATGATACAGCAGCCTCCTTCTTCACCACCACCCTCCCCTTGGCAAAGCACATAGGCAGCACCATTGGATCTTTGCCAGCAGGCAGCCAGACCAGCTTTTGGAGGTATGCGGCACCTCTTCTCTCCACTGTCCCTGTGGGACCGCCTCTGCTGTGCCACAAGAGAGGAGCAGGAGCGTGGCTGGAATCAGAAAGCGGCCAGGATGAGTCTACAGATGATCAGAGTAGGGCTAGAGGCGGAGTAGACACAGGGGGAAGAGATGGGCTGGTGCAGGGGTCAAGAAGGATGGGGAGGGGGACAGGTCCCCAAAGGGGTGACGGGAGTGAGAAGGTCAGGAGCCAGGACACCAGAAGAGAGTGAGGGATAGGGGGGCAGCAGCAAGCACCAGGGGAGCAGATGGGGCAAGGGGAGGAGACATGGCAGCAGAGGGACAAGAGAGAAGTTTATAAGATATTAATAAATATCATAAAATAAATAACAGTGGCACACATCTGAACAAGCGCACATGAACTCAATAGTGGTGCACAAGACAAAATTCACTCCACTCATGGGAGGAAAATCTTAGAGGGAACACTTCCTCCAGCCTCTCTCCCCAAGTTAATGCAATACAAGCTGGGTTAATGCACTTGCAGGCTACTTGCATGGGGGGGTCCTGTGGGGGCCAAACCCATACCTATTGGTAGAACAGTGGGAGGACTTCTTAGAGAGATCACAAACATGAAGCTTTAAACAAAATCTAGAGGCTCCCTGGGAATACTTTTATAAGAGCTCGTGGCCAGGGACCATCTTTTTGTTTTATGTTTGTATGTCTAGCACAGTGGATCCTGATTCATAATTGGTACTCTCCTAACTCATAAAAGGCTTCCTAAGAACAAATAAATTATGACTTTGATACCAGTAAAGAAAAATGCATGTGAGATGGAAAAATGCATGCAGTAGTTGTGATTTTCTATATGGCAAAGGCACTTTCAGAAAAATTACAGAGTAAGTTTGCACTAACAGGTGGTGCATGTGGAACAGCTAGTGAAAATGCAAGTCACCTATCAATAAAGTAGAGGGAGTAACATTATAGGTAGCAAGAAAAAGAGGGAAAAACCACATCCCACAGAGCAAAGACAAGACCTACAAAAATGTTTCAAGAGGACAGATACCACTGGTCACGTGTGGCAAAGGAGAACACAAGACAGAGAAGAAGGCATGTCACCACTACATAGACTATACTGGCATAGCTTTGTCAGCTTAGCCATGGGCATCTGTTCGCCTAGGCAGGGGAAGGCTTTGCATTCCCAAACTGACAGGCATGGCCCTACCTACACTGTGCCCCCTGCACATTCCTCCCTCCCCTGGTGCTCTGGGGCTGGGGAGGCTGGGGCAAGCACAAACCCACCTACTCACCTGCCTTCCCTGTGAGGGCAGGGAAGGAGCAGAGCCTCAGCAGAAGGGGCAGCGTTGGAGGTGAGGCCCTAACTTCATCAACCACCCATGAGCTTAGCAGTGCCCCATAATGTAGATGCAGAGTAAAACTATAGAAGGGCATTTTCTGCCAGTCTAGGACACTAATGCTCTGAACAATGTTGGCTACATTGACAAAAGCATTCTACTGTAACCTGTTCGTTCTATACAAAACACAGCCCCACAGCAGATGGCTTAAAACTTAGCTGTTTTCGTTCAGATCTCAAAGCACATGTACAGCTATGCCTTAATTAAACTTTATGACCCACCTAGAAGTAAACAGAGGCCCAAACTGGGTGACTGATTTGTCCAACACCACAAGTGAGTTAGAATTGGAACCTAGAGATTGGAACACCTAATCCAGTCCTCTGTATATTTAAATTATATCTCCATTATTAAACCACAGTGGTTCCATTCTTCTCTGGCCAGCTATAGGTGATTACCAGCAGGCCTAATTCTTCACTGCTTTGCACTTTCATTCACAATTCTGCAAAGTAGGTGTAAAATGCTACAAATAGCCACAGACACTCAGTTTGCAAAAGTGCAAGAAACTGCAAAGCACAAATCAATGACAAATAAGGCCCCCTGGCTTGTCTGTTTGTGGAAGAGTATTTGTCACACAAACACCAAGATACAACTTCCTTCTATTATATTATTTCATATTTGGATATTTTTAGGGCTGTCAGGAGATTAAAAAATAATTGTGATTAATCACATGAGTAAAAAAATTAATTGTGATTAATCATGCAATTTATTGCATTGTTAAACTAATAGAAACCCATTTATTTAAATATTTTGGTTGTAGTCTACGTTTTCAAATATATTGGTACCTTCTTTGTGTTGTGTGAAATCTGTAGTGAAAGTGTTCTTAAAATGAACAACAGGTGTTGGGTCACTGTCTGAGACTTCTATAACATGGAATATGGTAGAATGTGGGTAAAATAGAACAGAGGACATACAGTTCTCCCGCCAAGGAGCTCAGTCACAAATTTAATTAACATGTTATTTTTTTAGAGAGCATCATCAGCATGGAAGCATGTCCTCTGGAATGGTGGACAATGCATGAAGGGAAATATGAATGTTTAGCATACCTTGCAAAAAGTGCCTGTGTACAAAAGTGTCTGTTTTTACTTTCTTGTGATGTAAATAAGTCGTAGCATTTTCTCCTGCAAATGTAAACTTTTTTTCTTAGAGATTGGCTGAACAAGAAGTAAGACTGAGTGGAACTTGTAAGTTCTGAAGCTTTACATTATTATGGTTTTGAGTGCAGTTATGTAAAAAAATATACATTTGTAAGAACACAGAGATTGCACTAACGTATTTGTCAACTGAAAAATACTATTTATTTTTATCATTTTACAGTGCAAATATTTGTAATAAAATATATATTTGGATTTCAGTTGCAACACATAATGCAATACATCTGAAAATGTAGAAGAAGAGCCAAAATATTTAATACATTTCAGTTGGTATTTTATTGTTTAACTGTGTGATTAAAACTTCAATTAATCATGATTTTTTTATCGCAATTATATTTGTTGAGT